TGTTTTTCTGTCAATATGGGGTGCTGTGTGTACATTAATGAGGAAAAAAAATGAACTTAAATGATTTTAGCATATGGCTGCAATATAACAAAGAGTGAAAAATTTAAGGGGGTCTGAATACTTTCCGTACCCACTGTAGGTCAAGTGATGAAGATTGTTTTCTTCTGATTTTATGTATCTCAAGTTTGCTTGAAGGTCAGATTATACAGGGTTAAAACAGAGTGGACAGAGAGCAGGATATACAGTGTCATCACATCTCTGAGTGTGATTTTGACTACTTCATATACAGTAACACATATAGACATCAGTGTACTTATACCTGCACTATAACAGACTCCTTTGTATTTTACAATGTTTTCATGCTGGAGAGATTTGAGGATGTCAATTTCCCGTTCAAAGTCCCTGAGGTGTTCGGCTGTGCTGTGCTGCAGTTTCTTCACCGCTACCACCTCCCCTGTGCTGTCCTGCAGGGGGTCATACCTGCACATCTCCACGCTGCCAAAGTTTCCCTAGAGCGTGGGGTCAGAGGTAGAACAGATTTAAGAGCTATGAGTTCATCTGGCTTTTTTATTGTTGCAAACAAAGTTTGTGTGTGCGTCTTACTTTGCCCAGCTGTTTGAGAAAGATGAGGTGCCTCTCCTCAAACTGGGCGGGCTCCTGACTCTCAGAGGCCCATGGGAGGCCAAAGCCTCTTGTCCTGTTGGGTACCATGTCGCTCTCCACCAGCAGCTCATAATCTGCAACATAACAAGGTGCTAGATCATTTTATACATGCATGGACATGACTAGGAAACAGTGGATGTCTAAATGATAAATCCAAAAGCAAAATGACAAATGCAAGGGTGTGGTGCACAGTATGTCCACATGACGTGGAAAAAATTATTCACTGGGTGGCTGACACAAGTTAACATTCATCTCCATTTGTCTTCCTACCTGGTGTGAAGAGGCTGTTGAGATCTCTGATAATTGCTCTGAAGGACGGTCTGTGTGAGGGCTCATAGTCCATACAGCTGTTAATCAGATTGGCCAGCTCCGTCCATTTGGGAGCCGGCAGCTGGTGCCTGTCCTCATAGAACAAGTTTTTCTAAAGAGGAAAAGCGCACAAGTCAGGAGCTGCACGTTTTCAGCGTGGGTTGAAAAATTAAAAAGGTGCAAAGTTTTCAGATGTTCTTAAAATATAGAGGAGGACACTTTGTAAATAACCTCCTGTCCTTGTCATTAAAAATATGCACAAGTTAAAGGAATAGTTCAGCATTTTCTGAATGAAGGTTATTTGCTGTCTTACAAGGAGTTAGATGAGATGACTGATACCACTCATATCTGTACTTTATATGAATATGAATATACAGTCATCAGCTAGTTAGCTTAGCTTAGCATAATGACTCCAAATGGGGATACAGCTAGCCCGGCTCTGTCCAAATGGCAAAAAAAATGTATCTAAACCTAACAGACATGTGATATTGTTTGTTTATTTCATGCCAAAGTGTAAAAAGAACACTTGGCCATGAGCAATAACCACATTTACTCCACTCCACTCTTCAGTCCTTTGCCAAAATGCTGAACAATTCTTTTAATACAGACCATTCTCAGTAAGTCAATAGCCTCAAAGCCTCTTCTGTTTTTGTGACCTTGGAGCAATCCAGAGTGCTGAGTGGTCTGTCTCCGCCACTGCAGATTTCCCAAAGGGTGGTCCCAAAGCCCCACTTGTCTGTGGCTAAACTCAGGTTTTGGGGATTTTCTATGCACTCAGGGGGCACCCAGGGGATACGCTCCAACAGAACTGATGGAAAGACGCATTGAGCAAAAAAGAAAGAGACACGTGAATGGAAGAAAAGTTATGGATGGGGGAAGAATAGTGAGCAAACTTTGTCCCTGTCAGCAACCGAGACAGTCACGCCAAAGCAAAGCTATACTGGAGAACATTATTCCCACGTGGCAGCACACAGGTGTGAGGTACACGTTTTCTTACATCAGGACAGATCATGAAGTCCTGTATCTCACCTTCTCTGGGCAGCACAGTGATGCTGATACCAGGGTCACTGAGTTTGATGAAGGGCCGGTCCGATCTTCCTCTCTGATCAAAAGGACATTCTTGGCACAGACATTTCCATGAATGAGACTCTTGTCCTCCTGTGAGCAGGTATGACAGGGACAACATAAGCTGGCTGTAAAGGCGGTTCTCCTCACATTTCATTTTTTGTCAGACAGAACAGTTTGCACAGCTATGTTCATCTGTGTCAGCAGTCTTACCAGGTAGTGCATAGCCCAGGCTAGCTGCTTGGCCACTTCAAGCTTCCAGGTGATGTTTACACAGCTTTTATTCTTTTTCAGGTAGGTGTCCAGAGAACCAAATTTACCACACTCTTGGACCATCATGTCTGACAGGGAAATGACAGGGAGATTATTTTATTGTTCAAACTACTCTCCATATTCAAACTCTTCTATACAAAGCTCTTTCTATTAAATATCCTATTTAACAAGTTTGTGGTTTCCTGTATCTTATTTCCTGTGGTTTCTTCAATGATAGTGTTGCTGACACACAACTGAACCCTTTTACCCACTCAGGAATTTGTTCATCCATATTTAGGCATCTGTTTTGGCTCAGTTTTTACTGTCGCCAAGTGTGAAATGTGTCTTTTGTTATGAAATTTGAACTGAAAAGTTCTACAGATAGCCAACACTTTGCAAAGTCCAACACATTCCATTACCTCCATCTTTTCTTTCCCGCTTGTTCATTCGCTGCACTCAGAAATGTGAATTACAAAGGTCTCCAGCTCTGATGTGTATGGGCAGTTGCAGGTAGTGTAAAGATCAAGACTGGAGTTACCCATTAGTGACTTGTTGATTCTGAACCCTTAATCCAGTCAAAGTGGAAAGGTCAGAGCAGAGCCGGCCGGAGGTCGTCTGCTTTGTTGACGCTGGTATATTGATATCTGCGATGGCAGATGAGCATTGGAACCAGCAACAACAAGCATGACCTCATTATCATGAACCGGACGAAGATTTTGACCCAGATAAAAACTTTTTTAAGTACTCTGAAAATAACTGCAAGTATTACACGGATGAGCAGTTTAACAGCAATGTTAAGACTGAAAACAAATTATCATTAATTCACTTTAATAGCAGAAGTTTATACGCAAACCTTTAGAGTATAAAACATTATCTTAGTAGTCTAAAACATTCTTTTAATATAATTGCTATTTTTGAAAATTGGATGAATAATGTAAGGGGAATGGATTTTGACCTTGATGGCTATGACTTGGTCTGCACAAACAGAGAGAATAAGATGGGAGGTGGTGTGGCCTTGTACATAGATAAAAACTTTTGTTATGAGAAAGTGGAGAAAATGTCAAGGGTGGTTGATAATTTGCTGGAGTGTGTGACTGTAGAAATACTCGTGGAAAAAAAAGAAAAATGTTGTAATAAGCTGTATTTATAGAGCATCTGGAGCCAGCATAGAAAAATTTAATGACTGGATGGAAGAAAATTACTTGACAATAAGTCATAAATTAATGTTCATATGTGATGACTTCAATATAGATTTGTTAAATCCTAACAAGCACACAGGAACTGAGGAGTTTATTAACACAATATATAGATGCAGTACCACAACATATATTCAAGTACAGATACCTCAATATTGTACATAAGTAAATATACTTAGTTACTTTCCACCACTGGTATTTACACCCACATTCTGTCTACATTGTCTCCTTTACGTGAAAAACTAGCCTCTAACATACTGCAAAAAGAACATCCTCCAGCTACCACTGGTCACATTTATAAGTCACATGTATAAATACATCTGAAAAGGGTTTATATGAAGAAGTAACATTAAATCTATCATCTACTTCAAATACTATGAAGTAGTCAGAAAAACGATTTAATTCCTGTAGATGAGCTGCAGCTTTGCTTCAGAGAGTGACCCCAGACATCATTCTGAGAGATAAGAGTACTTTATGGCACTGTGTATCATATCCTGTCATCTCCATTACATGCATTATATTGATTTGTGTGATTAAATTAGTACATCCTCCCTTCACAGCTATCTTCTCTCATCTATCACTGCCATAGCCATTAAGAGGCTCTTTAGCTGATCTATTTCCCACAGTTTATAGTGAAAAGAATGGGGCACAGAGGGGGAGGGGCGGGGACATTAGTGTACAGTATGTGCTTCTTTCTGGACAAGGATGACTACACTAGTGCCTCAGATGATGCTGTGGGAGTAAACAAGAAAAAGAGAATTATGTTATTCTGGATTGTCCAAGCAAAAAGGTGGAAATGAACCAGTCAAATAGTCTGTTCACTAACATCTCCCACTGTGTGTCGCTGCCCAGAAGTGGACTAATAATGGCTCGTTTTTAAACCTCAAGCCACTGCATACGTTATTATTAGCCATGTTTTTAAACCATTAGCACACTTCAGTGCTTTGATTTGTGCCACAAGAAGTTGTGAGTGGGTAAACATGACGACAAAGACAAATACTCCAAAATGTTATCCAAATGTTTATCACCAGCACAGGTTCTTATACCGAACATGATTTTCACAGTCTGACCTGTTGGAGTAAAGCTAAGTAGAAATAAGACCAGATGATGAGCAGGTGGTTACAGTTTTATTGTATTTAAGATGCTTGACTTGTAAAAACAAACTGCTATAATATAACATTTTTATTAAATGATGTTTCCATATGAATTTAATGACTGTACCTTTAACTAAGCTTGATCTAAATGGTAAAGATTTGGCCTTTCACTGATCATAAATC